TTGACTGGCAAAAGGAACTTGTCTTAACACGCTGTCAAATTATTCCAGCAGGACTGCTCCCAAACCGCAATCTCTCGCGCCCGTCTGTAAGAAGGACGGTTTGTTTAGATCGGGAAGCTGCAGCGACGCGTTTTCTGCTATCGCTTCGAAAAGCAATTCAGACGAACGCTTTTCGTCAGCGCCTCATACCCACTTCTTTCCTTTAGGCAGCAGCTGATAGAGGGGCCTTGATATGCTAGCAAAATGCGGAACGAACTGGCGATAAAAAGCAATCATGCTGAAGACACGTTGCAAGCTGTTAGTATCATGGGGCGGGGGTATTCTAGGATTGCCTGGAGCTTTCTGGGTTCGGTTTCAGCACACTGTTATCAACCACGAAGCAAAGCAGGTCAATCTTGTGAGTAGCCAGCTGTATTGTTTCAGAGTGCAAAGTCCGACCAGCACCATGCATGTGCTGTATGAACGCGAAAAGACAGTTACGTAATTGAGATACCAGAGAGCGAAGTTTTTTTTTTTGCATCGCCGAGAACTATATTTATTTTTGTTTGGTAGGAAATGAGGTTGTTACAAAGTCCGAACGGTATTCGGACAAAATTCGAAGAAGCCCCTGTGACAAGTGAAAGCGGTATTTTCTACGTCGTTTGAGTGCATTTATATATTTCAAGTAGCCACGAGAGAAGTTGATAGTAGTAAAAAACGTCGCGTCTGACAATGTGTGCGTGATTTCTTGAATGGATAGGAACGGATTAAGATCTCTCGTCGTCATCGAATTTAGGTGGCGAAAATCTGCGCGCAGGCGGGCCGAGCAGTCCTAAAACAAGGCGAAGAAAACCGAAAAGGCCCATGGGCTCATAGACGGTCAAACCATGACAGTTTCGATCATCTTGTCTAAGGGCGCATTCAGGAGGGCTCGCTTGGGAGCGCTGATAAGGCGGGGGTTGGATTGTTACGGTCGGGCGTCACCGATGTCAATGCGACGCGTTAGGACGTCGGTCCTGCCTGACTTATCTGTGCCTTATATATTGTATAATATTGATCATATGTATTCATTGTGTACTCGTTGTGTAACATATGTACACGTTCTTGCTCTGCTGCTCTGTGATGTTTGTGTTAGATTTTAATAAGCAATTTTTCGAACTTAAGGAATTAGGAGTCTAAACATTTCCGGAAAACAAAATACAAAATGGATGTTCGAAGTCAATGTAGCCGTTGGTACCTACAAGCAACCGCTTGATGCATTTCTCGCTTTCCTTAGAATCACGATATATGAAAGGGGGCGGGGATGTGCTCATTGGCCCAGGGCCCCTATATCTCTTTATCCGGCCCTGGCCATGAAGAGAAAATACTTTTATGCACTTACTCAAATTGTTTCTCGATACTACCGCCAGGGAATTATTTTCGGCTTCTGATTGGCCAAGAGAGCATGTCCAGCCCTCTATCTGCGTTTGTTACGCGCCCTGACTCTGCCCGCTCTTCCAATTGACCAAACTATTTCCATATATGGCTCTGCCAATGTCTTCTAACCGCCTTTGTCATAAACAAAAACAAATAAAAAAAATAAACGGATGGATGAGTTGTTTCGGTTATACCCCTCATATGGGGCGGTACCTAGGGACACCTGCCATGTGCACCCTATTTCGGTTTCGGGAAACATGAAAAACAAATCGCTTTATCGAAGACTAATACTACTTCAAAAGCACTAAAATCAATGGAGCCATGTTTTAAATGGGAGATTGGAAAGACTACTATCTCTTTAGTTTTGGTACAAGCTCTGTCATCATTACTAATTTTTGTTTGTTTCGTAAATTTTTATTTTAACAATCCACGACTATATTGTACAATCCCTTCGTTGTATTTTCGACCAGAATTATTAATGCGAAAGCCTTAACTGTCTCATGGAGCGAGCCCGACGTCATCAATTTTTAAACCATGCAAAACGGCACCTTAATAAAACCATGCGCAAAGCTAGCCAATGGCACCTTTTACACTTCGGTTCCATTGGTTGGCGCGCGTCGACGAGGCTCCCATTGGCCGCTGCGTATCAGTGTGTGTGGTGTCATCCTGACAGTGTTTTCGCACTGTTGTGTTAACACTGATCACAGCGTTCGCTCGCCTCTTATCGGTTGTACGGCGCGTGGCAATATATACCGCGCATGGAATAAAACAAGGGGTTCGTTCTGCTGGGAAGTACGTTGCTGAAAGTAATCCCTGAAGAAGAGGAACAAGGGGGACAATGGATAAACACAAATCTGCAAAGACAGCTGTACATTCTTGTCCAGCTCGCTTGCGCCTTTGCATTTAATTGCATTATAATCATAACCTTAAAATGCAAGCCTTTCACCCTTGTTGGGGTTAGACTGGTGGCAGCTGATAAAACCTGTCTCTTCTACCAACTGAGCTAACCCCTGGTTAGCTCAGTTGGTAGAGCGCTCCACTGGAAATGGAGAGGTCCTGAATTCGATACCCGGAACGGGCGGATGTTTTCGGTCGCTCACCTGTGTTTGGAGATTTTGTTTGTCCATTGTCCCCCTACGTTGCTGTCTGTTCCTTCCTCGCGCCGTAAGGCACACGACAGTTTGAACGATCGCTCACCCGATGGCGCTGCATGTCCGCGAGGCAGCGGCTCCACCGTTCTACGTCTAAGGTCAGCGCGTTATATACACCGCAGATTAAAGAAGGCAGCGAAGAGCGGCGTGCGTGCTTTCGCATTTAAAACTCATAAGAAGTGCTTAGGTGTACCTCGAGCCTTTTTTTGAACCTCCACAACGAACTTCAGTTGATCTATTGTCGATGAGTAAATATAAAGATGAACTGCTGTAATTCACAGTGTGCCTGCAGTTCTTTCTGGGCTCTAAAAGGGGCACTGACAGGGTGTTTATGCTCGCCGAAGTGTTTCTTTGAACATAGCCTATAACGGCCCAACTACCCAGAACACAATCTGAGGCTCAAAATGCGTTTTCTTTCCGTCCGAAATAGCCGGTCCAGAATCGGCCGGTTTCTGCCGCGCTCACTCTTTTTGCCATGGTCACGTGGCTTTCAAATTATGTGCACCAAATATATTCAACGTTGTGGGTCATCCAAGGCGCAGACTGAATATAACAAAATATAAAAGAATACGAACCCCATTCTTGCGACCTCCAAGAAACGGCAAATAAGTTGAACGAGCAAAAAGAAATGTTGCACAAATCACAAGAAGCACATGTGCACGTCATTCCGAGTATGTCGACGTAAAGCGGGCATATCGTAAGCTGGACAAAGCGATGGCGGTGCGCGACGAACCAACGTTGCGACGGACGTGGGGCCGCTACTTGAGAACCGTCGTTCGTGGTACCGGCCGATCGATCTTCAAGCGCAGAACATCGAGCGGAAGGAATATAAATGCGAAACAATCGCACGACAGACGCTACACGTAACTTGGTTGTCTGCTTCACATGCCGGAGATGCGAAGAAAAAAAAAAAAACGCAGTCGAGTGTAGGCACGTGACTTCCAGCCATGAGTTTCCATGCTTGTGTTTCGGTTTCGAGCAGTTGCGTTTTTGACTTAAAAATATACGTGACTCTGTAGCAAAATATTTAGTGGGTAGTCTGCTGACACCCATATTACATCGCCTAGCAAATATACCAAACATTTTTGGGAGGTGTCAGTGTCCTTTTAAAATATATTTCAACACAGTATTAATGGAGCTACTAGAGAATCTGAGTGCATAACATGTAGCCCGGATGATGCAACAGTGTTACATGACACACCGACAACATCACAAAGACAATAGAAATGCATAGAACGTAGAGTTGTATGTGACGTCGCATACACCACGACGTCATAGGACACCATCATGACAGGTGACACTGGGATGTTGCCATGTCATCTCGTGACTAGGTAACATCGCCTGACACCATAACGCCACGCGACACTGGGATATCGCGTTTCAAGGTGACATCATGTGATACCGTAGTGTCAATGTGTCTCAGACACGCTGATGTAAAGGGACTAGGTGACATCACGTGATACTGTGTAACGTGACGTGGCTACGAGACGTCAGGTGACACCATCGTTGCTAGACTCCCTCGATCACTCCAGTCCGCCTCCCGTCGTTTGAAGGGCCATTTTGCTTTCAAAACTCTGTGTTCCATAGATCTGGACGGTGTGCTTCAAAACCAACGAGGTAAAGGGGCCTAGAGCGATAAACTGGCATCCCGTTCACCAGGATAAAGTTACCCCCCCCTGGCTGCCGCCATGTTGTACAATTTTGATCACTAGACACGTGACCGTACTGAATCCTGAGGCTTTTACGCAAAGCGCCACGAGACACGAATTCTTGATAGGTTTCCAAATCATTTCGCCCATGTGCCTTCAGTGATTGTTTGCAAGCTATCTATACACCACCTCCATATTTTATAAGGAAAGTATAATCACGATCTCCTTGAAACACAGTAAATGAAGGTGTAAAATATTCACTATTCGCAATGTTTCTGACAATATGACAATATCGTAATTAGTACCTAGCAGATTAGACATAAATTCATCCGATTTTGTTCTAAGGCCGCGGACATTTTGATAATAAGCGTTAAGATTCCGAGCCATTAATACTTTAAACTTTCTGCTGCAACCACGTAATCCCGGGAACTAGGCAACCTCTCAAAAAAGGGCGAAACGGACAGCCATCCGGCCAGACGTCCGAGTTGTTCAACACTTGCAACGACTCCTCGTCAACGGCAAGATGTAAGGAGTTATACGTGAGGTATTTTGTCTTCAGTTGCGTCTAAATTACTGGAGTGCAGACCTCCAAACAGCTTTCCGGCCCCAGCTTGCACCAAGCCTTGTCGGAATGGCCAAGTGATGGCAGGGTAGGCACTCATCTGCTTGCCGGGGCCGGAAAGATGCTTTGGACGAAACGTCGCAGTGTATGTCGATGAACAGAGCTCGGGAGCCCTCAAAGAAAACGTGCTCCAAGGCGGCGACTGCGCCCTGAGGCCGGTCGAGGCGTGTAGCGCGTACTCGCCTATCCATGAGTAGAAGAGCGTGCTGAGGCCAGCCAGGATGGCCAGCGTGGTCATGTCCCCCAGGGCGTCCACCACCGACGTGGCGATGTTGTCCGGGTTCACGTGGCACCGACCGGAGTGGGCCACCACCAGGATCATCACGCTGCCTGCGCGGGGACCGCCCGTCACTCCAAGCCCCCGAAGGAACGTGCTCATTACGCTGCAACACCATCGCCCGCCCAATTGCTTGAAATTTGCTGCGATGAAGACGCAGCAACCCGATCGATCAATGGGCTAGTTTAGTTGCCACACACACCGTTAGTGGTTGCCTGAGTGGGTAAGTGCAGTGTTCGGAAACATTCATTCATTGAACCTGTGATTCTGATGAAAGCCTGCAACTGACCGCGCTTGCTCACTAATAATGATCCTGTTTCAATCCGAGGCTTTCAAAAAATACATATCTAGTTTTTCGTTAAAATGTTTTACATTTCGGGGTATCAAATCATCCAACACTGTTTTGGAGCTTTTTTGCTGTTTTAATTTTACGCTTGTAAAACTGAGGAAGAAGCAACGAGGTACTTTTGTAGAAATTGCGAACGATGTCTCAGCGGCAAAAGCGGGAGTTTTAGTCAGGTATGGTTCTGATTAAAGAAGCGTGATACCCGCTTCACCCATTGACCACTCTAGTAAAAAAAAATATTCAGTGTTCGTGTGAAACACGTTATAATTCATCGAGCGTATTAGTTTGAGCTGGTTTTTTGTAGGACACCGAGTACTAAATTCTCGCAAGGTATTTTGTATTACAAGCCGGTGCAGTGGCAACGACGGTAGATTTTTCCAATAAACTGCCAACTCCCCTGCGGAGTCGGATGATCACACTGTTTTGTTTTTTTTTCTGATGTATACGTCGGTCATAGGAGTTGGTAGGAAAATCAAAAAGCCGAACCTTTTTTAAATAAATACACCGATCACACCGAGCGTTCGGCGCAAGCGCTACGCCGTCCTTCCTTTTGTCTATAGGAAAAAGGTGGCAGTCCACGACAAGGCTCGTGCCGTCTCGTGCTCTGCACCCACAGAGGAGTTCCAGCGGGGTTCATTTGATGCGTAGCGGCAGCGGTTGCGTCTATTTAAACCGCTTTAACTGCCGTTCGGTGACCGGCTGTTTCCGGAGCTAACCAGAAGCACACTTTCGTCCGCACAGTTCCGCGGGGCGACTCCAGTCACTGAAAGAATGAGAAGGACCGAGAGGTCTTTCGACAACTCTGAGGTGAGCCTCGATCATGTACGTGCAGTAACAGCACGATAGAAGGTCACGAGATTGTGCTGAACGCCGACCATCGCCGGGACAGAGAAAAACTGAGGGAAACGATGAAAGCGTGCAACGACATCAAAGCGCCTTGATTGGAAAAATGGACACGAAGGCTAGTCGCTTTTGCTTCTCTCGTCGTCCGCTCCTCGGCATGGCGTACGAACGCGAGGCTTGGTTCGAGTTTATGGAGACAGTGGGTAGCGACATATGCGCCTCTCCCTCCAACTAGAGCGTGGTTCTCAGCTCCTGTTCGCATTGCCCAGAGTGCGGCGGCTCACCGAGCAGGAAGCTGGCGATGGCGGCGGTGCACATGCTGCAGGCGGCCACGAAGAGCGCCTGGTCAAGCCGGAAGGTGTCGTCCGAGACCAGCCCCATCACGATGGCGAACACTGACGAGAGCAGCGACAGCACGCACGCCTGGCACTGCAACAGAGGCCCACTCCATCATTCGGGGTCCGCTCGCTACAAAGAACACGTATCAACTCGAGTTTCGCCTCAAAGGGCTAACGGTCTCGCCTGAGACCGGGCGCACAGCTCTGTTTGAGTCGCTTGCTCGAAACGAAACATAAGTTCTGTACTTACAAAAGAGTGAGCAGGAACTAGAAATAAAATATGGGAAAGGACACAGAAGTATCTTGTAATCCGAAGATTCCGGACGTTGATAGGACACGTTGCGACCTCCTGTCCCATAAGAAAGCGAATGAGAGGAGGAGCACCCGTTGACACGAGGCGGCAAGCGAGTTCCTCTGCTTCTGCTACTCTGCGGTCATTTTCGGCCGCGACAAACGAGGACGAACGCAAAACTGCCTGAAGTAGTTTGTACCGTGAATACAAAAAATAATAAAAAAAAGACGACAAAAAACCGCGGTTTTGCACGTGTTTAGTGACCACAAACGCAGTCCTACCGAGTCGTACCGCGATCGTCTGCCACCATCGTCGAATGCGTCCAAATAAAGGTACCTTCAGAAACGTTGGTACCTCCTTAGATGCTTTTTAGCATAGATATAAATAGCGCTGGATTGAAAAAGCGCTGGACGCCATTTATCTCAAAACCATAGGCAATAAAAGTATATTATTCATTTACAAGCATAATCTTTTAGCAGACGACCTACTTCGCTGCTGCATGGAGTCGTGGAGTTACCGAACTCACGGATCCTTCCCAAGGAAAAAAAAAATTAATTTTATCCAAAGACGAAAAGTATGCAAAATTGAGAAACGAGACCGCGTAATACAAGAAACATATAATTACACAATTAAAAAGCTGCTGGGAAATGCATGGAAGATGGTACCATCCGTCCTGAACTAGCAGCGTACATAGCGGGTGCGCACAGTGCCACTTATAAATATCGTATTTAAAATTTTAAATCCCGGAGCCGCACAAGGTTGACGTTTTTCTTGAAGGCACACTCGACGACAGGTGGGTTTGCGATTATACATTTGATTTTATTTCACATGAACAGAATACGTTTTTTGCGCTCATCTAATTTCCTTTGCATTTTCCTTTTCTCGTCTAAATTTCAATATTTTAGTGCAATCAATTTAAACAATGTGTTGCTTGCTTCAATCACAGAAACTACACCTTGCCGAAAATAAACGTTCGCAATTTGAGCAGGTTCACACCACTGCCCGTTCAACCAAACCGGCAAGAGTTTCTAACCTTCGTTTAGCAGTATAACCAGACTGCCCGCCGGCACAATCAAAGTCCTTATCGCCCTAGTCAAAATGTTTAGAGGTTTGAGATTATTGGTATGTGAGCATGTTCAAGCACCATAGCGCCGTGGCGGGCCGGTTTGAAGCTAGCCCAAAGAAACTATTTACAGGTTTGAGCGTGGTGGTATGCGGACCTGTTTACACTTCAGAGCGGTGTGGCGGACTCGCTTGAAGGGGATAGAGAGAAACGGCCTCGCCGGTGTCGGCTAGCCTTGGGTGCGCCAGGGCAATTTTCGGGAAGAGAAAGGCAGTCTCTGGGGAGATGAGGCAGAGAGACGACATGCGTGGACGACGGGGACAATCTGCGGTTGTACGAGAAACATCCGAGAGACAAGCGGACGCAGTGCAAGTTACAAAACAGCAGCAGGTATGTGAGTATTTGTCGCCCGTGTCCTGGAGGAAACCAACAGAGGAGCAACGCAAGCTACAAGAGAGCAAAAAGACCGAGAAGGCTTGCTCACACAGTTGCGTTTGACTGCGTTTGACTTGGTTAAGACTGCTTGCGTCGAGCTGCTTCTATGGCGGCATTTACGATGAGTCAACGGGGAGGTGCTGTGCTGCACGATGCAACGCAGCACAACATGGTCGACGCAAATGTGTGAACCTAGAGATAGCCAACCAGGGTGCAGCGCATGCTACAAGACAGCAGCGGGAGTGCGAGTGTTTGTCGGTCGCGTCTTGGAACTAACCAACCTGGACGCAGCGCAGATAGCAACAGGACTGTGAGTGTTCGTCGGCCGCGTCCTAGGGGTAACCACCCAGGGTGAAGCGTATACTACAAGACACCCGGGGGACTTAGAGTGTTTGTCGGTCGCGTCTTGGAAGTAACCAACCTGGACGCAGCGCAGATAGCAACAGGACTGTGAGTGTTCATCGGCCGCGTCCTAGGGGTAACCACCCAGGGTGAAGCGTATGCTACAAGACAGCAGCGGGAGTGCGAGTGTTTGTCGGTCGCGTCTTGGAACTAACCAACCTGGACGCAGCGCAGATAGCAACAGGACTGTGAGTGTTCGTCGGCCGCGTCCTAGGGGTAACCACCCAGAGTGAAGCGTATGCTACAAGACAACCGGGGGACTGTGAGTGTTTGTCGGTCGCGTCTTGGAAGTAACCAACCTGGACGCAGCGCAGATAGCAACAGGACTCTGAGTGTTCATCGGCCGCGTCCTAGGGGTAACCACCCAGGGGGAAGCGTATGCTACAAGACAGCAGCGGGAGTGCGAGTGTTTGTCGGTCGCGTCTTGGAACTAACCAACCTGGACGCAGCGCAGATAGCAACAGGACTGTGAGTGTTCGTCGGCCGCGTCCTAGGGGTAACCACCCAGGGTGAAGCGTATGCTACAAGACACCCGGGGGACTGTGAGTGTTTGTCGGTGGCGTCTTGGAAGTAACCAACCTGGACGCAGCGCAGATAGCAACAGGACTGTGAGTGTTCATCGGCCGCGTACTAGGGATAAGCACCCAGGGTGAAGCGTATGCTACAAGACAGCAGCGGGAGTGCGAGTGTTTGTCGGTCGCGTCTTGGAAGTAACCAACCTGGACGCAGCGTAGATAGCAACAGGACTGTGAGTGTTCATCGGCCGCGTCCTAGGGGTAACCACCCAGGGTGAAGCGTATGCTACAAGACAGCAGCTGGAGTGCGAGTGTTTGTCGGTCGCGTCTTGGAACTAACCAACCTGGACGCAGCGCAGATAGCAACAGGACTGTGAGTGTTCGTCGGCCGCGTCCTAAGGGTAACCAACCAGAATGCAGCGCATGCTACAAGACACCAGGGGGACTGTGAGTGCTTGCCGGTCGCGTCTTGGAGGTAACCAACCTGGACGCAGCGCAGATAGCAACAGGACTGTGAGTGTTCATCGGCCGCGTCCTAGGGGTAACCACCCAGGGTGAAGCGTATGCTACAAGACAGCAGCGGGAGTGCGAGCGTTTGTCGGTCGCGTCTTGGAAGTAACCAACCTGGACGCAGCGCAGATAGCAACAGGACTGTGAGTGTTCATCGGCCGCGTCCTAGGGGTAACCACCCAGGGTGAAGCGTATGCTACAAGACAGCAGCGGGAGTGCGAGTGTTTGTCGGTCGCGTCTTGGAACTAACCAACCTGGACGCAGCGCAGATAGCAACAGGACTGTGAGTGTTCGTCGGCCGCGTCCTAAGGGTAACCAACCAGAATGCAGCGCATGCTACAAGACACCAGGGGGACTGTGAGTGCTTGCCGGTCGCGTCTTGGAGGTAACCAACCTGGACGCAGCGCAGATGGCAACAGGACTGTGAGTGTTCATCGGCCGCGTCCTAGGGGTAACCACCCAGGGTGAAGCGTATGCTACAAGACAGCCGCGGGAGTGCGAGCGTTTGTCGGTCGCGTCTTGGAACTAACCAACCTGGACGCAGCGCAGATAGCAACAGGACTGTGAGTGTTCGTCGGCCGCGTCCTAAGGGTAACCAACCAGAATGCAGCGCATGCTACAAGACAACAGCTCGAATATGAGTGTTCCTCGGTCGCGTCTTGGAGGTAACCAACCTGGACGCAGCGCAGATAGCAACAGGACTGTGAGTGTTCATCGGCCGCGTCCTAGGGGTAACCACCCAGGGTGAAGCGTATGCTACAAGACAGCAGCGGGAGTGCGAGTGTTTGTCGGTCGCGTCTTGGAACTAACCAACCTGGACGCAGCGCAGATAGCAACAGGACTGTGAGTGTTCGTCGGCCGCGTCCTAAGGGTAACCAACCAGAATGCAGCGCATGCTACAAGACAACAGCTCGAATATGAGTGTTCCTTGGCCGCGTCTTGGAGTTAACCAGCCATGACACAGCGCAGATTGCAACAGGACTGTGAGTGTTCGTCGGCCGCGTCCTAGGGGTAACCACCCAGGGTGAAGCGTATGCTACAAGACAGCAGCGGGAGTGCGAGTGTTTGTCGGTCGCGTCTTGGAACTAACCAACCTGGACGCAGCGCAGATAGCAACAGGACTGTGAATGTTCGTCGGCCGCGTCCTAGGGGTAACCAACCAGGGTGCAGCGCATGCTTCAAGACAACAGCTGGAATATGAGTGTTCCTCGGTCGCGTCTTGGAGGTAACCAACCTGGACGCAGCGCAGATAGCAACAGGACTGTGAGTGTTCCTCGGCCGCGTCCTAGGGGTAACCACCCAGGGTGAAGCGTATGCTTCAAGACAGCAGCGGGAGTGCGAGTGTTTGTCGGTTGCGTCTTGGAACTAACCAACCTGGACGCAGCGCAGATAGCAACAGGACTGTGAGTGTTCGTCGGCCGCGTCCTAAGGGTAACCAACCAGAATGCAGCGCATGCTACAAGACAACAGCTCGAATATGAGTGTTCCTCGGCCGCGTCTTGGAGTTAACCAGCCTTGACACAGCGCAGATTGCAACAGGACTGTGAGTGTTCGTCGGCCGCGTCCTAGGGGTAACCACCCAGGGTGAAGCGTATGCTACAAGACAGCAGCGGGAGTGCGAGTGTTTGTCGGTCGCGTCTTGGAACTAACCAACCTGGACGCAGCGCAGATAGCAACAGGACTGTGAGTGTTCGTCGGCCGCGTCCTAGGGGTAACCACCCAGGGTGAAGCGTATGCTACAAGACAGCAGCGGGAGTGCGAGTGTTTGTCGGTCGCGTCTTGGAACTAAGCAACCTGGACGCAGCGCAGATAGCAACAGGACTGTGAGTGTTCGTCGGCCGTGTCCTAGGGGTAACCAACCAGGGTGCAGCGCA